GGGCTGTGTGCGCACGCAATTGAGTTGGGCTCTGTCAATGTATGCCAGCAGAAGCCTTCGTCATCGACCATAATAGCCAAATACCAAAAATCGAGGAGCCTAGACTGCATTACCGAAGAAAAAAACTGTCAACGCCAAAAATCCTAGCATTCACCCCGGAGAATACCAGCAAATTCGTTCAACCTCTCTTCCCGCTTGTCTGTATTTAAAACGTGCACGAGTTGCCTGGCTAACACTGCCTCTCGGGCCGATCTTACGAACACACACCGGTCCAGGTCCTCGAAGCCCAAGTACCAGGCTCGTGGTACATTACGAGTGAAGGAGAGATACGCTTTATTTTGACAATATAATTGAAGATTTCGTCGGCAAAATCGTCCTCCATTCACTGTGGATAAAAGTAGGCACACAAACCGCATAACACCGGGAGATCAAAAGCCATGCATATTGGCCGAATACTGTAGTTGACAACATCATGACCAATCGTCCTTGAATGAGTCACAAAATTTAGGCAAATTTACACCTTCAAAACGATACCAGTGTCCTGCACTAAGGTCCTCATTATTGTGGTTTTAATCAATAAAAGGGCGAAAAATGTTTTTATTATGGGTGCAATAGTCCAACCTATGTATTTATAAGAACTTTACATGCGAATGCAGAACAGGAAAATGGCGAAGTCGCCAGTTATGGAGCGCTTCAACGTCTGTGACAACCTCCCACTCTCCCCCACCCAATCGATTTGTTCTATTCGCTACTTATGCGCACAGTTCAAATAGGGTTGGTTTTCCTGTTCAAAAGCAACAACACTCCATACCCTCCTTCCCCTCCCCCTTCTATCAACATTTTTTGAACTAAATGTGGACCCGTCGGTTACTTCTCACCTTGACCAACAAAACGTGCCATCCTTCGCCCAAATCATAAATGCTTTCTGGTGGAGCTGGCGGCTGACTGCTGTTCTGCGGCCTCCCGGAGTAACGAGTCGAGATAGACTACTCCGGTGCCAAAATAAGGTTTATCTGCCAGCCTAGCCGCAACGACCCGATCCCAAATCTGAAGGGTAGAAGTGGGACGCTAGTTGGGAGGGTGTTTTCTTCTGCACAAAACTATGGGAGTAGTGGTCAGAAAAAGTTGACG